ATACTAAACATACCAATTATTGCCACGTCCACGATCCAGAATAACCTATCCCATCTAAATAATCTTGAAAATAGTCACAAACACCTCCAAAACCATTATAGATATACTAAGATCTTAAACAATAATATAATATTTCTGAAGCAGGCATTTATAAAATAAATTGCCAAAACTTAAATATATTGGAGAAACAAAACTTCGTAAAATTTATGAGCACAAAAGAGACCTCAAAAAAACAACTTAAAGACAAAATAAATTGCCATAATTTTGATTTTTTATCATTAAAAAGAAAATAACTCGGTGTCATCAAAAATTATCATTAATTTACGCCCAGTTTCCCTATTTAATTAAAACCGAATCTTAACGAAAAGAAAAGAAAAATATTCCCACACATGACAATCTCTGACGTTATTTTTCAGTAATAATGGATATTTTTAAGTTTAGTATCTATTTCATTCTTTTGCTTAATAAATTAAATGAAATTATTCTAAAAATAAAAAATAAAAACACACTAAAAACAATATTTAGTTTAAAATACAAATAACTACTTATGAACGAAACGTTTTTTTTACTGGATATTTTTTCGGTATTTACCGGTAGTAATTACCTCCTTTTTAAAAGTTTTATTTTTTTTGTTTACTGTTTACGCTTTTTTTTCCGACTAGCACAAATATCTATTGTATTTTTCATCAAAATATACTTTTTTTATTTAAAAAAACAACTTTTATATTTATTGTAATTTGTTTATATTTTCAAAAAAAGTGTTTTTTTTAAAAGGCCTTTTTATTTTCCAAGCAATAAAAAGTTAATCTCAGAACTAACTTAACTTTTCTAGCAGGACAAGTAAACAAAAGTAAACAAAACATTACTTTTAAAATTTATGTATTTCAAAATTTATTTTCAAATTTATTTTGAAAAATATTCATTTGTAACTTCTTATAATACATATATTTTTTTTTCAGATATTTTAATAAAAATGGCAGGAAAAAAATTCTTCAATTTCAACTCGTAGTAAAGATGCAATTAAATTTTCAGGTCCAACTTCACAATTAGATAAAATAGAGCCCCCAATTTATCGACAATGTATTCAATATAGCTATTTTTTTAATGAATACTTATCCTCACCTTTCAAGTTTTGCTATTTGTAAATTAATAGCAGACGATATAATAGAAATCTGGAAGGCTGTTAACCCCCGTTTACCTCTGTTAAATGAAATTAGTATTTTGAACAAGGTGAAAATTCTATGCTTCCAGAAGGCAAAGCAAATAAATAGGAAATCTTTCCCTGTTGCCCAAAAGAAATTCTGGAAGGAAAAGCTGGACATGTTATTTGATATTACGTCCTGTTCCTGCAAACTGCCAGTTTTAAGATGTAACGACCCTAATGTTAAATGCAACAAAGAAAATTGCCAGACTAAGCACATAATCTGCACTTGTCCTATGAAACAGAAAGTAAGTTATTTTCTATTTTTGTTTTTTAATGTATTTGTGATGGTGACAACGTAATGTTAAAATCACTCGAATTTTGAATGAAATCAATTTCCACACTTTTTATGTTATTTAAAGAAATATAAAAAGTCATTTTTTCCATTTTATTTTTCATGTAAAATAATTTTTATTTTAATCTGTTTATGTATTTCTAAGATAAGTAAAATCTGATCTTTCAGGTTCCAGTGGAAGACCGTGAATATTCGAGAGATCAGAGGGTGAAATAGGTCCCAAGGGCAAGTTTCCAGCTTGGACCAACAGATAAAAGTGCTATAAAAAATAGAGAGCTTAAGCCAACAAAAGAATTTAGATTCATCACCGATAGCTTCAACATCATACGTCCAGGATGATATTTCTTCCCATTCCTTCTCATCTTCTCCTAGTGAAGTGAATATTTGCAACCAGATAGTCATCCCAAAGGGCCATATAGCCTTATCAAAATTCCAAGGTATGCTATTGAGTTGATAAGGGGTGATGTATCTTCCAATCTTGGAGCCAGCCTTGCCAATGCCTTGCTCTTGGATTTGAGGGCTATGGGCTTTCTTATCCCCAATATTAATATAAAAAGATATTTACATAGATAAATGTAAAATTGATAGAGCAAAGGCTAAAGTGAAAAAAAATGCCCATCAAAAGCATGATGAAAAAGTGGAAAATCTTTTTTGTATTGGAGTTGATGGGAGAACTGACAAAAACACGCTATTGTACAAGGAAATAGTGGAGGAAAATGGAAAGAATAAAAAAAAAAAAAAAAAAACCAAGGGATCAGAGCGCCACTTGACTGTTACAAAGGAGATGTCATATGAAAGTGAATATCTGACACACAGGGTTCTTCCTAATATTGGTGCAACTGGTGCTGTTCTTGCCGAGCAAGTGGCTGATATCTTGCATGAATTCAACAGTGTGAGTACTATCAAGGCTATCCTTGTTGACAACACTAATGCCAATACAGGCTGTGAAGGTGGACTTTTTACACTTCTAGAAAGAAAAATTAACAGAAATCTTCACACTATTTTTTGATCCTTGCATCAAAATGAACTTCCGTTTAGAGCTCTCTTTAAACATGTAGATGGTACCACAAAAAGCCCTACCACATTCAATGGTCCACTGGGTAATGTAACCCGGATAAAAGAGAGTTGTCGGGACCGGTAAATTTTCTCTTATATCCGGGTTTGGTCTATTCTATATACATTAACACAGGCTCTATGCAAATGATTACCATAATTTACTCCAAATATTATTTTCAGCTGTTGGCAGTCCTCTAGATTCTATTTTTAAAATTGAAAATACAGATACCCTTAGTTGTGACTAAAGACTCCTTTATGAATATACAGTGGGTATTTGTAGAGGTAAGGTGGACTTTAGATTTGCATCATGGAAAATTGGTCCATTAAACCAGGCAAGGTGGTTAACTGATGTGTTTATGGACTCGTGGTGCATACTCACAAAATCTTTCAACCAAACTGCAAAGTTTAATAAATTTTATTGTGAATGTGTATGCCATTTGCTGGTTTAAAAATTAAAAGAATTAACAAGTTCCACAATCAGCAAAGGATTAGGAAGCAACCATATGAAATCCAACAGATCATATTGAAAAATATACAATACAATGCTTTCGTCTTACTGCCTGAAAATATCTTATATTCAATGGTCAAATCTGATGAACTGGAAGTGAGAGAAGAAGCTATAACAAGTATTTTGGCCATTAGGTAAGTAAATATTTATTCATATAAAACTGACTAAATTAGTTATGCCCATTTTTAAATTCATTTTAAGGATGTTACCTTATTTCACCATAAATATTAAAGCAGTACAGAGTGCATTTTCTTAAATAACTCAATTAAAAGATTGATATTCTTTATATAAGTGGGGAGCCAACCAATAAAAGATTGAAAAGAATCACAACTATAAATTTTAAAGCCATGCACTGGACACAGTTAATAGATCTGTCATTAACAGTGGAAGTTTGTCTGAACCACCACTCATAAAAGATTTTTCTAAAAATTAACTTCGGGAATCATTATTAAATGGTACGAAGCTTGAAGCAGATTTGCCCTCCCATTCTCAAGGCGTGGAACGGGCAGTCAAGTTAACAACAGAAGCTTCCCAATCTGTGTATGGCTTTGAAGCAAGGCACCAGCACATAATAGCAAAAGTTTTGTGTCAGAAATTGAGACCATCATTTTTGTCTAAGGGATCTTATATGGAGCTATTTGACTCTATATATTAAGCCCTATTAAACTATTATTTGTTTTTCCATATTTGTTTGTTTGTTGTATTTTCATTCATAATAGAAAAAAATAAATTTTTTAATGTATTCAACTATTACTGCTTAATTCATGAGGTAAAAAAACAGCATTTCAAAGTCGTCACTGATAATGGGGGGGAGCATGTTTTCAATTTGAAGTTTAGTTATAATTTCTTTTTTTATATTTCATTTTGATGAAATAAAATAACAACATTCCCTGTAAAAAATAAAATTAAAAGTAAAAATATTTCAAATCGTAAAAAAAAGTATTCTCACCCAAACACGCCCCCAAAAATCATTAATTATATTTGCCGTAAGAATTTTTGTCGTTAACAATAAAAATTTAAAAAAAATCCAGACGACATGCATTTAACGGAAGTTAGATTTCATTGAAAAATACATCTCTAACCAAAACGTAACTAATAACTGATACATCAAAATACAGATATAATGAACACGCAGACACCCCTTGTTTAATGGATTTATCTGTAACCTTGAAACATGAATTAATTTTAGCTAATTAAAACCCATATATATATAGGATGAAATGGAACTAATGTCTTTAATTTAATTACAAAATTAAATTCGTAGCTTTTACCTTCCATTTTGAAAACATGGTTAGAAATGTAAAAAAAGAACCATATTTTAAATCAATTAATTTATAATATTATATATATATATATATATATATATATATATATATATATATGAAGAAATATAGTTTTAAGATGTGCTACATTTATAGAATAAAGTGCTCAATATCAGGGATAGAGTGTATGTAAATATAGAAGCAATTCAACACTCAGAGGCGACAGACTGCTACAATTTGCGTCCAGCATGAAAGAAGCTGTCGCTTCTGCGTGATGAATGTTCTTCTCTCTCTATATATATATATATATATATATATATATATATATATATATATATATATATATATATATATATATATTAATTCATTTGTTTAAACGTTATTTTTAATGGATATTTATATTTTATAGATGCTCTGACTTTTTATATGTATATGTTTACACACACACACACACACACACACATATATATATATATATATATATATATATATATATATATATATATGAAGTCGTAATAAAACGAAGCCATCAAGGAAAAGAAAACGTGAGAAGGCGAAAGTTTTGTACGCGTAACAACGAAAATAAAGATGGTATTAATGGGGAGATAACTCTACCATTACGCATGGATGGCCACAATAATGGCGTCAGGGTGGAAGATCAATGGACCCATTAAAGAGATGAATGCAAGAAGCATTTTTTATGAGCGCAAGGGGCCTTGTCTGATGGTAAGTAGTCAGAAAGTCTCTGATAACGTTTGCTTACAAGAATGGGTACAAGCAGAAGAAAGCGGCCAAGCGTTGATGTGCTCAAGAAATACGAATCTCTAGATTGCCTGAAAAGTTCATAGGCTGACCAAGATATTCTCATGGAATGAGGTTTATTTTTCAGAATAGTCGCCCTTTTTGGCCCACTCTCGTAGGTCGGTCAGTCAATGCGTCCATAGACCAGCGATAAAGACAGTTTCGTTTTTAATTTTTTTTTTTTATACACAACAGAGATTTATTTATTTTCAGCATGGTCTCCATCTTAATCGGCTTACGGCCATATCGCGTCGAAACATCAGTTCCCCTACGATCACCGAAGTTAAGCAACGACGTGCCTGATCAGTAAGGAGATCGGTAACCGCTTGGAAATACCAGGTGGTGTAAAGGGCTTACGTACACATGACGATGAAATACTGGTTCCCGTAGGATAACTGAAGTTAAGCAACGACGTGCCTGATCAGTAACTAGATGACCGACGTTAAGCAACCAGTACCTAGACGGGTAACCGCTTGGGAATGACAGATCCTGTAAGCATTGATGTCTGGGTCACATGACGATGAAATACCGGTTTCCGCACGATCTCCGAAGTCAAGCAACGTCGTGCCTGATCAGTAACTAGATGGGTGACCGCTTGGGAATACCAGGTGCTGTTAGCTTCGATGTCTGGGAGATGTAAAAGGCTCACAACCCCATCACGATGAAATTACGTAGCCCGTCCGATGACCGAAGTTAAGCAACGTCGTTCCTGACCAGTAACTAGACGGGTAACAGCTTGACAAAACCAGTTGATGTCCGGGTGGCGTAAAGGGCTTACCTACACATCACGACGAAATACTGGTTTCCGTTCGATAACCGAGGTTAAGCAACATCGTGTCTGGTCAGTAGCATATGGGTGACCGCTTGGGAATACCAAATGTCTGGATGGTGTAAATAGCCTACAGCTACTTCACGATGACGGGTTCCAGTACGATGACCGAAGTTAAGCAACGACGGGTCTGGTCAGTAATTAGATGGGTGACCGCTTGGGAATACCAGGTGCTCTAAGCTTAGATGTCCTGGTGGCGTAAATGGCTTACGGCTCACGATGAAATACTAATTCCCGTAGGATCGCCGATGCTAAGCAACGTCGTAGATGGTCAGTACCTAGACGGGAAACCGCCTGGGAATATCATATGCTGTAAGTAAGGATATGCGCGTGGTATAACGGATAATGACTTTGAATTGTTAATCGGAGAGCCGAGTTGTAATTCCCAATGTGTTCGTTATATTATTCACGCGCAAATGTCCCTGGGAAAGGCATGAATCCACCAATTCTTCTCTCAGCAGTGGGTTAATTGTATCACTAAATCATTATCATCTCCAAAAAAATTCTTACAATCTAAAAAAGGTTTTCTGGCTTTAAATAGCCTGCAAAGGGTTGATAAACCGTAAAGAAACGAATCAATTGATATTTCTTTGTCAATGCAAGTAATTCAGTGTTGAATGTTAGATCAATTACACAGTCAGTTATGTGCCATGCGTAATACTCGCTTAGACGATCATGTATCTTTTTGATGCATGATGGCGGACAGATTTTTTCCCGCTGTAGGTTGCCATTTCTTTCTGAGGTAGACCAGTTGCCATCCAAGGCTATAGAACCCAATCTGTCCTGCTATTTACCGATAACTGGGGAGAAAGAAGAGAATTTATACCTTTCCCAAGGGTATTAGTACATAAGTGAATGTAATGGATTCAACTGTAATTTGAACTCAGTTCTCTGATTCCTCAATCCGAGCCACTATCCACTACTTCCACATGCCTGGTCTTTCCTGCTATTTACCCATAGCTTGTGGGGGGAGAAGAGGATCCATAATACCCAAGGGTATTAGCACATAAGCGAATCTAATGGATTCGACTGGAATTTTACTGTTGTGTTCAGTCAGTTATATGCCATGCGTGATACACACGTAGGCGATCATGTATCTTTTTGATACATGACTGACGAGGCAGATTTTTCCCGCATAAGTTTGCTATTTCTTTCTGCGGTTGACCAGTTGCCATCCAAGATGATAAAACCCAGTTTGTACTGCAATTTACTCATAGCTTGGTCGGGGGGGGGGAGAAGAAGAGGATTCATACCTTTCCCAAGGGTATTGGCACGTAAGTGAAGGTAATGGATTCGACTGGAATTCGAACTCGGCTCCCCGATTTCTCAATCCGAGCCGCTATCCATTACTCTACAGATGCAAGTATAATCCATTTATAAGGTTACATACAGTCATAAATAAATTCCTTTTTACTTTTGTAACTTTATTCTTAAAAAGTAAAGTGCACAGAGATTTTATTCACTTATAAAAGGTTGTTCCAATAAGTTGGGCCTATTTTAAATGTGAATTAAGTTTAGGCATCTAACGAGTTTCTTGTTTTTCTTTCTTTAACAACTTAAGTCTTTGGCAATTTCAACCATGGAAAGATTAACAATCAAACAATATGTCAAAGTTTCAAGAGTGCATTTGAAAAAGTCGTTCCTAAATTCAAACAAACCGGGTCGGTGGAAGATGTAAAAACACCATTGCGTGCTCGTTTACGCCGTTCAGCTGAAAACATCGCTGTAGTGCATAAGAATGTGACCGAAAATCCAGACCCCCTCTATTCGTCATCGCCCACAAGAATTGAACCTCTCCACAACAACGTTACATTGTTTCCAATTGCACTCTTGGTTGGTCGATTATGTTAACCAAAAAAAATCGTGAGGTGCGCGAAATGCATTTCTGTTTGAACGTCCATTTTCATAATAGGCTTCGATATCTTTAACACGTTGTTTGATTGTTAAACTTTCCATGGTTGAAATTGCCAAAGACGTAAGTTGTTAAATCTGAAAGGAAAAAAAATTAGACGCTTTATATTTGACATTATTTGTAACTTATCAGTTAATATTTGAACATCCAGCAAATGTAATATATCCTTAAAAGTTTGATCAAAAAGGGACCTGACCTGATTAACTTTATATATATATATATATATATATATATATATATATGTAAATTCCCAAGAGGATAGAATACAGGTAGATCTCAATTTCCAGGACAGACTAAGAATATAATATAAAAGGCTCAAACACTAATATTCCATGGTTATAATTTATTACATTCATCAGAACTACAAATTCAAAAAGCATTTTGAATTTGTAGGTCTGATGAATTGGGTCGTGATTACGATTCCTATGTAATAAATCATAACCATGGAATATTAATATTTGAGCCTTTTATATATATATATATATATATATATATATATATATATATATATATATATATATATATATATGTGTGTGTGTGTGTGTGTGTGTGTGTGTGTCTGTTTGTTGTGTGTGTGTGTGTGTGTGACAAATATATAGAAAATAGGAAAGAACTCGTTAGGTAAATAATCCAAAGTTCTTTAGTATTTTTGTTATTATTTTAAAAAAATAGTGCTCGATGCAAAAGTAGACCACTTGTTTTGAAACATGAGAACTCTTATGTAGCGTGTTGGAATCATATTTTTAAATAAATAATTATATATATATATGTATATATTCATTATTGTGTAAATTAATTGAAACGAAACGAATAATTCTGTTGTTATTTACTTTTCGTGTTTTTCCAAGAAAACATGCGCCAGCGCACATGTTAGTACTTCGTATGCCCATTTCACAAAGTCGTTCCTTGCAGATTGACCACAGATTCTCGATTGGATTTAAATCAGAAGAGTTTATGGGCCAGTCTATATGTGGTACTATTTGCCGGTGCTGCAGTAAAACAAAAGAAAGTTAGATATATCGTCGTCAGCTTTATCTCGTATCCAAGAATTTAATTTATTCTTTGCTGATCGATTCCTTTATAATGATGGCACTGATGACCAAATTCGCAGCCAACGTGCAGATTCAGGGCAAGAAGCTTCCAGTTTCATCAAAACCTGTTTGCGTGAGACCCAGGGTCACTAACCCATATCCATACAACTGAATACAAACTCATATCCATAAAACTACATCAGACCTACAAATTCAAAAAGCATTTTGAATCTGTAGGTCTGATGAAAGAAAATCACCATATTGATATATGCTTAAATCCAATCTAAGCTTTCGACTTACATAAGTCATTATCAAAGATGACAATTACTTTTCAATGTATCAACCAATACACGGACGAAACAATAATGACAGTCTGTTTTTGTTGCATGAAAAATTTCAAAGCAACGACTAACTCGTGTATACGAGACGCGGAAGCGAAAATCTCGTCGCAACTCGTGACGTCACCACGCGAGAGCGAAAACGAGAAATATTAAGTATGGGAAACCGTTGGTATAAACCAATGGCTTCTGTTATCAATTATATATATATTTGTGGAGATTTCGTAGTTTATTTTGTTCAGGTTAGGTTTCAACTGTTTTATGTATATAGCTACAAGAATTTTTAGTTATTGTTTATTGTTCATATACGAATTATTCTGTTATTTACTTTTTTCGTATGTTTCCAATGAAACATGACTAAGTGAACATGTTGGTACTTCGTATTTGCATTCCCCGAAGTCGTTCCTTGCAGATTAACCACAGATTCTCGATTGGATTTAAATCAGGAGTGTTTTCGGGCCATTCCATAGTACTTTGATTTACTCACTGGTAGGGTATGCTAGTCTCTTTGTGCAGCGTTACAAATTTTCGTACGCTTCCTTGGAGTAACGTCCACCGCGGACAGTGGTCATAGGACAACTAATCGACAGTTGAGACAATAATGTTTGCGTGTGATAAAATCTGATGCAATCACGGATGACGTAATATTTTTCTAGGCCAAACAAATTTCACCATGCGCCCCGAAAATAGATTTATATAACTGCACACCACTGCAAATGACCTAATCTGAGTAAAAAAACAGAAATCGATTACACCTTGTCACTCGAGTGGGTCTAAAATTGACCGTATGGTGAAAGAAAGGAAACTGAAGCGGTTTCTTCAAATAATTTGCACAACCGTGTATATATTATATCAAAATAGCTTAAAACGACAAATATTTTTTATTTATTTATGTATTTTCTGTTTATAAGTTATTTTTATGGATGCAACTTATTTGAGTAAATGCTCTGTTTTTAATTAAACAGTACTCATTACATTTACAGGCCTGAATATTCGAGAAATTTCGAAGAAAATATGCCTTCTCCTGTAATCCATACGAAAACCGCATTTATCCTGATAGGTTGTTAACCATCCAGCCATAGAGAACTTCCGGTTAGCAAAGTTCAAATTACTGCTTATAAAGACATTCTCGACGATTTTTCTCGATCTATCATTTTTGCTCCCAAACGTAACCTAACGTAAAAAATGATAACATATTATATGAAATGGTTTAAATCTGATAAATATTTAAATATATTTTCTGTTTATACGTTACTTTTATAGATACAACTTATTTGAGTAGGTGATCTGTTTTTAATTAAACATTAATTGCATTTAACGGCCTGAGTTTTCGAGACATTTCCTGGGAAATATGCGTTCGAACCTGTATCACATATGGAAACGGTCACTTGACCTGACGTGCTGTTAACCATGCAGCTACAGAAAACTTTCTGGTTAGCAAAGTTCAAATTACTGTTTATAAGCAGACATCTTCGACGATCTGTCTCGATAATTCATTTCTGCTCCGAAACGTAACTTAACGTAAACAATGACAACATATTAGATGAAATGGATTAAATAATTAAGAAGGTTATTGTATCAAAATAAGAGAAGGAAATAAAGGTAGATTATGAAAATATGTAGGATAGATAGCGGTTGACCCTAGACTTAAAGAGGTTAAGATTTTAGTCAGGATTTTAGGGATTAGGGAAGCAGTGGGTCTGGTCTAGAACGTAAAAGTTTGGAGTAGAACATCCGACAGACCAAAGGAATCCGAACAGAATAAGAAGGATTCGACTCCGTGTACCTGGCAGAGTTTGTCGTAGAAGTAAAGGTCTGAACTGTTGAAATCCATAGCTCGTCTGAACGAATTCTATCTATCTATCTATCTATCTATCTATCTATCTATCTATCTATGCCTATTCATATCTATACCTATTCATATCTATCTATCTATCTATCTCATTTGCATTTATAATTCATTTCTATCTATCTATCTATTCATCTATCTATCTATCTATCTATCTATCTATCTATCTGTTCAACTCAATTACATTCTATCTATCTATCTATTTTATCTATCTATGCATTTATCTATTCTTTATCTATCTATATCAGTCTGTTTATATCTATCTATCTATCTATCTATCTATCTATCTATCTATCTATCTATCTATCTATCTATTTATCCTATTCATATCTATACCTATTCATATCTATCTATCTATCTATCTATCTATCTCATTTATTTCAATTGCATTCTATCTATCTATCTATCTATCTATCTATCTATTTGCATCTATCTATTCATTTCTTCCTATCTATCTATCTATTCTATTTTCAATTATCTATCTATCTATCTATTTATCTATCATTTGCATTCTATGTATTCATTTCAATTTTCTATATCAGTCTGTTTATATCTATCTGTCTAAAAATCTATCTATCTATTCAAAATCTATTCATCTATCTATCTATCTATCATCCCAGTCTTTTCATATTCTATCAATAAATCTATCTATCTATCTATTTCCCTATCCGCTCTTTTTATTTCTATCTACTATGTTCTATCTATCTAATATCTTCTATTCATAAATCAGCCTGTTTCTATCTATCCTTTTTATCTTCTCTATCAAACCTTTATCTATCTATTCATCTATCTATCGTTGCATTTGCTGGATGTATAAATAGTGATAGTTTAGTTGAGTTTGTGGTTTTCATCTTTGGGGAAGTGGTTATAGGTTTGAAAAATAATTCATCGCCCACAAGATGCGCAGACAGTTTGATAACTTGTCAAGATATAGCAACGTCAATGCATTTCCCGTATCCTTCTTGCTCTATGCAACCACGCGTTGTCAATGGGGAGAACACCATTTTTCCTGGTTTTTTTTTTCAGTTTATTTTGTTTTTTCTTCATATCAACCAAACCTTTATGTTATTTAATGCCTGAAATTTTTTTTTATAAATGTTTTTTTTTTTCTTTTGGGTTTTAAATTGGTCCCATTTTTTTTCTAAAAACGCAACATTTTTTTTTCCATGGAACTCAGTTTTGATAACGTTTGTGGAGATATATAGTTTTTTGAATCCACTATCTTTGTTAACATTTTGTATTTAGCTGGGACCTTTCATCACTTATTAACCCCATTTTTTATTGGTTTACCTTGGGAACATCATATCAACCCAATGTGGTGGTTTAATGCTCACAACCTTTTTAGGTGATAGATTCTTTCTGTAGAATATGTATTCTTTTTTTTAGATTGGTTTGGACGCGGATTGGTTTACGGCATATCAACTTCAATGGGTTATTTAATTTAACGTCATTAGGATAGGACGCGATGAATAGAATATGTATTCTTTTACGTGGATTGGTTTGGTTTTATTTTGTTTTACGGCATATCTTACGCCTCAATGGGTTTATTTATTGTCATATTTTTTCCAAAAATGTAGGTTATTTGTTTTTCAAAAATGGATTGATGGTAATCGTTGTTTTTCCCTGGACGCGGATGTAATATTTTTTTCTTACAAAAGTATTTCGGATTAAAACCCATTTTACATACCCAGGACGCTTGATCCGCGTTGTTTATCGCCCATAGCTTCGGGACCCTATGTAGGTTATCGTCATACCCAGGAAACCAAGAATTTAGATGTTTCTTTAACATCATACCCAGGACACGGTTCCGTTTATCTCAAACCTTATCAGAGGACGCGCTGTTGAACGTAGTTTATCGTCTTACCCTGGACGCGGATGTAGTTTATCGTCTTACCCTAGACGGCACTTGTTATGGTGTTAATGATGTTAGTTAATCTAATCTTTCCGACTTCTCGGCCTCATATTGACTGCTGACCTGAGATGGAACGAATACATTGAGTTAATAGCTTCGTCCACCGCTAGGAAAGTTGGCTCTTTTCTCACCGGTGTCGATCCTTCAAATCTACAAATCAACCATTCGCCCTTGCATGGAGTATTGCTGCCATATATGGTCTGGAGCCCCTTCTAATTGTCTCAAGGTCCTTGATAAAATCCAAAGACGGATATGCAATGTAATTGGCCCTGATCTGGCTGAAAGGTAGAGAGAGAAAAGGATAGGGAGAGAGGGTGGGAATAGGAGACTGAGAGACAGTTAGAGGCTGAGAGAGAAGGAGGGAGAGAGAGAGTGAGAGAACGAAAGAGAGTGTGATTGAGAGACTGAGAAGGAGTGAAACTGAGGGAAAAAGTGAGAAAGAGGAAAGGGATAGAGCGAGACTGTGAGGGGGAGAGAGTGGGAGACTGAGAGTGAGGAAGAGAGGGTAGAGAGAAGCAAAGTAGGAGATAGGGGGAGACTAAAGGGGAGGTAGAGGGTAAGAGAGAAGGAGGGGAGGAGAATAAAAGAGAGAGAGAGACTGAGAAGGAATGAAACTAGGAGAGTGAGAGAGAGGAAGGGGTGTATAAAGAGAGAGAGAGAGAGAGAG